AGACGAAAAAGCACTGACGAGAATGGAGAACCCAGACCCCCAGTCCACGCTGGGGGGATGGACAATGGTGAGCCGCGGAAAGGAGGGCAGTTCCTCGGGAAGTTAAGCACAGAATTACCCTGTTGTCGCTGTGTACCGTCCGGTCGATTCCGACTCCTAGTGACCCCATGTGACGGAGTAGAACTGCCCCCTGCCCCCTAGGGTTTTCTAGGCTGTAATCTTTATGGGAAGAGATTACCAGGTCTTTCTCTCGCGGAGCCACTGGGTGGGTTTGAACCACCAACCTTTCAGTTGGCAGCTGAGCACTTAACCACTGCGCCCCCGGGGCTCTTGAGTGTTATCATGTGACCGGCAATTCCGCTCCTAGGTACACCCCCGCAGAACTGGAAGCAGGACCCACACGGAGCTGTGTGTGCCAGTGTTCGCTGCACTGTTCACAGCAGCCACAGGGGGGAGCCACCGAGCATCCACCAGGTGAGTGGATAAGCTGTGCCCGTACCCACAACGGAATATTCTTCTCCCCTTGAAAGGAATAAAGTGCTGATGCGCGCTACGACGTAGATGGACCTTGAAAACGTGCTGAGCAAAAGAAGCTAATCACAGAAGGTCACATATGATTCTACTGATGTGATTCTTCACATACTACGTGATTATACCCATAAAGCAGGCAGATCCCGAGAGGCAAGGCAGGCTGGTGGTTGCCAGGGGCTAGAGGGAGGGGGAGCGGGAGTGACCGTTTAATGGGTGTGGGTTTCCTTTCGGGCTGATATAAATGGGACCAGACAGGTGGTGGCTGCACGGCTCTGTGAATGTCCAAAATGCCACTGAACTGTGCCTTTAGAGCGGTTCACGTCACCTGGTGGATTTCACCTCGATAAAAAACAAAGATGTTCGCGCACACACTGAGAACAAAAGGTGACCTAAATAAAAAGAGACACAGACCACGTTCCTGGACGGGAAGACGCAATATTGCAAAGATGTCACTCCACAACTGATTGACTGCAACACAACTCAAAATTCCCCAAAATCTGGTTTTGTTTCAGAAACTTGACAAGCTGATTCCAAAACTTCTATGTAAAAGCGAAGGATCACGAAGGGACAAGACGCTCCTGAACAATGAGGTGGGGTCAGATGCGACAGCGGCACGGGCTGGACACCCAGGCACGGTGAGCCGCTGAGAGCCCAAGGGGCCCAGGCCCACGTGGGCCCTGGATTCATGACGAGGGAGGTGCTGAGTCATGAGAAAGGACCAAAAAGACCCCAAAACCAAACCCGGTGCCATCCACTGTGACTCACGGCGCCCCCACGTGTCAGAGTAGAGCTGTGCTGCGTGGGATTTTCAATGGCTGATCTTCCAGAAGTAGATCGCCAGGCCTTTCTTCCGAGGTGCCTCTGGGTGGACTGGAACTGCCAACCTTCCAGTTACCAACTGAGCGCGTTAACTGTTTGCGCCACCCAGGGCCTCCCGAGGAAAGGACCGTTATTTTAATAAACAGTGCTGAGAGCATTGCGACCCCTATAGAAAAAAGAGTAAATTTCACCCCGCCTGACTCGCAGGATTCCGAGTAGATTGCAGATGACGGTGTGAGAAACAAAGCTTTTATGAGCCATTTCAGAGCCCACGCGCCAAAACAGCACACAGATAGTCATGAGCATAGAGTCCCACAAAGTGGGCTGCGTTAAAACTTTTTTTTGTGTGTGGCATTTTTCCATCTTCCTTGTTAGTATCTGAGGATTCCAGTCTAACAGGTAACATTCTGAGGGCCGGTGGGATCAGTTCTGTTCTCTCTTCTGACACCAACACATCCTCCTCTGACTCCAACCACCGGGAGCTGGGTCACAGACCTCCAGATACCAGCCACAGCATGGGGATCCCCACGACACCCTCACTTCTGCTGGCTACAACTACAGGGGTTCCCCCTACCCCCTCAGGGAACCAGCTGTAAGCTCAGGGGTCCCCAAGGCCCCCCACTTCTGTCTGACCTGCTGGCTCCCACTCTTCCTGGGGTTTGAAAATTCACCACAGACTCGCAGAACTCGGCGGAGCACTGTACTTAGGATTACAACTTTGTTATACCAAAAAGGACGCGAACAGTCACCAAACGTAGAAACCTGAATTGGCGTGTGTTTTGCTGTGTATGTTCTCCACAACAAAATAAAATATTGAAAAAATAAAAAAACTCCCCTGTGGAGCACGGTTCTACTCTGACACACACGGGGTTGCCGTGTATTAGGGAAAAGAAAAAGGATGAAGTGCGGGGCGAGGACTGTGAGGGTCCCTAACAGCTTCCACGTGGCGTGCTACCCTCCCCCACACACGGATGCCCATCACCAACCAGGAGGCCTCACTGCGCAGGTTCCACTGCGTGAACGGTGACCCCACAGGCCAGCTGGTGTCACCAGCACGGCCAGCCCTCACCTGAGTCACCTCATTAGCGTAAGTCCTCAGGTGTGGCCTGGAGGTCTCCCCACACTGGGGGAATTCCAAGGGTTTAGAGGTTCTTTCAGGAACCAAGGACAAAGACCAGACGCTTTGGGTGAAGTTAATTTTAAACCTCTCGGGTGTCTTGGGCGACAACGCGAAAATTAACACCACTTGTGCAAACACCGTGGGGACAGGGAAGATGGAAACTCCAACGAAGGAGCTGAGACGCTTTCGCAAAACGGCCGCGTCCAAAACACGCTCTTTTAAAAATCCTACAAATCAGAGAGCCCAACGCAAAAACAGGGAGCGACCCGAATGCGCACGTCGCAGAACGGGGGGCCGTGGCCGAGGAGTCTCGGGAGGGGCCGGGCCTCGCGTGCAACCCGGGCAGCAGGCGCTAATGAAGGCAGAGGCGGCAGACAGGCGGCAGGGCGCGGCACCCCGGCTCCCTTGGTAGCGTGTGAACCGCCCACGTCTTTGCGAGGGTTCAGCCTCTTCATGGAGAAGACCCCCGGGCCTCACACCCCTTTCAGGTCTGCTCACCGCCCTGCGAGGCGTCGGCTGGCGGGTCCCAGCAGCGCGGCAGGGTGGATACACAGCTTCCTGCCCACACAGCCGCGGGGACCTCAAGGCACAGTGTCGCGCATGAGCAGGAGACCCGGCGCATCCTGTGGGACACGCTTCCTGACGATTGAGGCAGAACCAGGCCAAACTCCTCGGGGCAGCGCACACGGGTGGTCGGAGGGAAGGCAGGGAGGGGCCGGCCTGGATGTCGGGGAGCTGGGGGACCATCCCGGGAGGGGGGCTGCGTGGGGGTGGCGCGCTCTGGAGGCAGGAGGCCGGGCGTTCACGCTGTGATCACCCCAGTGTTGCTCGTGAAACCTGAACCCAGATGCCAAACTCCTGGCCGTGGTTTCCCCGCAGAGCTCGACGGGGGCTCTCTGCCCCCAGCCCCCACGGGTGGGCCACCCGTAACAGCCAATCCTGGTGCAGCCAGCTGCAGCGTGCGGCCCTCGGCAGGCTCAGCGCCCCTGCCCGCGCTGGCCCGGCCCCTGCTGAGTCTGCACTTTGTCTGGGTAAACTCACCACGGGCCTTCGCAGGGGTGGACTTTCTCCCTTCGGATCTATAATTTCTCAGAAGAGACCCTGAAGAACAACCTGGAACAGAGTCAAAGCTCAATAAAGGGAGATGGAGCTGCCCGCCCCAGTGCTGCTGTGGGGGAGGGGCCGGGGCCTCGCAGAGACTCCCCCGACCCAGACGAGCAGCCAGGCGCCGAGCTCCCAGACCCCGCCTGAGGGCTTAGAGCACCCCCGGTCCTGGCTCCCCACCCCCACCGTCTACTCCCACCCCGAGGACCAGGCCAGCCTCCTACCCCTGCCTCACCAAGGCTGCCCTCACCAGCCCCAGCTCTGCGTTTTTCTGCCCCTTCTAGCACCTTACACACACACGTTCCCACTGCCCCCAGTAGGCTCAGGTGACAGAGGAAGGGTGGGGGGTGAGCAGGGTCTTCTGGAGGCGCAGGGGGCAAAAAGGACCGGTGGGGGATGCCTAAGGGATCAGGCCTGGGAGGGGGAGGTGATATCGAGTGGGTGTGAGGTGTGGTGGCTGGGGGAGGGTGTGTGGCAGGAGCCCCCAGGTGAGAGGAGGACAAGCAGCTCCTGGCATGAGCAACTGCCATTCAGGCTGCCTTCCCGCCTGACCTCGGCCGGGGCAGGTCCCAGGAGAGCCGGGTGGGTGGGTGGGCAGGCTGGGGTAGCTCTGCGGGAGCCTGGAGAACCGCACTGGGGCAGGTGGCAGAGGATCGCTGAGCCCCGGGACCCGGTGTGGAGCCGAGGACACGCAAACAGGTGCTGGCGTGGCCCTCAGGCGTTCCTAGAAGAGGCGTGGGGGAGGCCTGGCCAGACAGCAGCCGACCCTGAGGTCAGCAGAGAGGCCGGGGCTGGGTCCTGCGTGGCCTCCTGGGACGGGGTGGGGGCGGGAGGCCCCCGGCTGATGCCACCTGGCTGTTAGGAAATTACGGGTGAAGGGGAGGTGGGTGGTCAGTGCCAGGGCAGCCGTGAGGGTTGGTCTGCGGAGCATGGGGGTGTCCACTTAACCCCGGACACGGCCATCTGCCGGGCTGGGGTGCGGGCCCCCGAAGGCCCTGACTTCGGGCAGAGCCTGCCCAGCCTGAGGCTTCGTCTCCTGAACCCCACACCCGCCGTGAACACCAGCCACCAGAGGCTGCTCTGAAGGCACCCCGGCCCCAGCCCACCCCACTCCTCCTTGGCTCAGCCTTGCAGGGGGGCACGGGACGGGATGGGATGGGATGGGATGGGCCCATGTGCCCTAAGCGCCATGCCACGGTCCACCCCTGACAGAAGGAGGCCTCAGGAAGACACAGCCCCCCAACTACTCCCCCTGCTGCCTGCACCCCAGGCCTCGGGCAGACGCTAGCTGCCCGGCACGACGGGGTTAAGGGGCCGGGCGGCGGCTGGCTGGCTGTCAGGGCCTGGCTGCGCGGTGCTGCGTCCAGAGAGCAGGAGCCGCCGACCCCAGCAGACGCGCTGCCCGCCGGCCGCTGAGCGCGCAGTGATGGCCTTGAGCAAAGGTGAGGCCGCGGCCCCTCCAGCCCTGTCCTCCAGCTGACCAGAGCCCACGGAGGTGGGACGGGGCCGGGGCAGCCCTGGGGGGCTCGGGGGAGCCCCTAGCAGGAATGCTGCTGGGGGGGCTCAGAGCTGGAACCAGAGGCTCCTCTTGCCCTCCTGCCCCATCCCTCCCAAAGTTCCCAGGTGGTGCACACACTTCACGCGCTCAGCTGCCAACCGAAAGGTTGGAGCTTTGGGTTTGCCTAGAGGCACCTCGGAAGAAAGGCCTGGCGATCTGCTGAAACATTGGCCGGTGAGAACCCCGTGGAGCACAGTTCTGCTCTGACACACACGGGGTCGCCATGAGTTGGCATCCACTTGGTAGCCACTGATTTTTCCCTACCCTCTCACCCCGAGGGCCCAGGAGAGCGGCCGGGGAGGCCAGGTAAGGTGGGGTCAGATTCTCCACCCCTCGGCAGGCCGACCATGCGCAGAAGTGGGGGACGAGGCGCCTCCCTCATTCCACACTCGAGGCCTGGGCCAAGTTGGCCAAGGAGGAGGACGAGGCTCACTGTTCTCCTGGCTGCTCGGAGGCCAAGCAGCTGCCTGACAGGGCAGCCGTGCGGGTGGGGAGCACCCCGTGCCATGGGGGCACCCCCTAGCACTGCCCCGAGCTCCGAGGCAGGGAGGCAAGGCCCAAGCCCGCGCCTGGTACGGCACGTAGGACCGTCTCCCCACCAGGGTCCTCGCGCTGCCTCCTGCGCCCATCCCTGGAGGTGGCCAGGCCAGGTCTGGGAAGGCTCCCAGTCAGCTCTGCCTTCGCCACAGGAGGCCCGGTGACGGTGCTGCTGTTCGTGTGCTGGGCGGCGACGGGCTGTGGCGGCCTGGAAAGCATGGAGCCCGGAGCGCCGGGGGACACCGAGAGCCTGCGGTGCCCCGCCGTGTGCGCCTGCAGCTATGACGACTACACGGACGAGCTCAGTGTCTTCTGCAGCTCCCGGAACCTGACGCAGCTGCCCGCCGGCATCCCCGAGGACGCCAGGGCCCTGTGGCTGGACTGCAACAACCTGACCAGCATCCCCGCGGCCGCCTTCCAAAACCTCTCGGGCCTGGACTTTCTCAACCTGCAGGGCAGCCGGCTGGGCAGCCTGGAGCCGCGCGCGCTCCTGGGCCTGGGCGCGCTCTACCACCTTCATCTGGAGCAGAACCAGCTGCGCGGCCTGGCGGCCGGCACCTTTGCACACACCCCAGGCCTGGCCTCCCTCAGCCTGCACCACAACCTGCTCAGCAGGCTGGACGAGGGCCTCTTCGCCGGCCTGCCTCGCCTCTGGGCCCTCAACCTTGGCTGGAACGGTCTGGCCGTGCTGCCCGACGCCGCCTTCCGGGGCCTGGCCGGCCTGCGCGAGCTCGTGCTGGCCGGCAACCGCCTGAGCTACCTGCAGCCGCCGCTCTTCTGCGGCCTGGACGAGCTGCAGGAGCTGGACGTGAGCCGGAACGTGCTGCGCGGCGTCAAGGCGGGCGTCTTCGTCAAGCTGCCCAAGCTGCAGAAGCTCTACCTGCACCGCAACCTCATCGCCAGCGTGGCGCCCGGCGCCTTCCTGGGCCTGCGTGCCCTGCGCTGGCTGGACCTGTCGCACAACCGCGTGGGCAGCCTCTTCGCGGAGACCTTCCCGGGCCTGCTGGGGCTGCGCGTGCTGCGCCTCTCCCACAATGCGCTGACCGGCCTGCGGCCGCGCACCTTCAAAGACCTGCACTTCCTGGAGGAGCTGCGGCTCGGCCACAACCGCATCCGGCAGCTGGCCGAGCGTACCTTCGAGGGCCTGGGCCAGCTGGAGGTGCTCACGCTGGACCACAACCAACTCCAGGAGCTGCGGCCCGGCACCTTCCTGGGGCTCACCAATGTCGCCGTCATGAACCTCTCGGGCAACTGCCTGCGGAACCTGCCGGAGCAGGTGTTCCGGGGCCTGGGCCAGCTGCACAGCCTGCACCTGGAGGGCAGCTGCCTGGGCCGCGTGGGCCCGCACACCTTCTCGGGCCTGGCGGGTCTGCGCCGTCTCTTCCTGCGCGACAGCGGCATCGTGGACCTCGACGAGCAGAGCCTGCAGGGGCTGCCCGAGCTGCTCGAGCTGGACCTCACCACCAACCGCCTGACGGACCTGCCACGCCAACTCTTCCAAGGCCTTGGCAAGCTCGAGTACCTGCTGCTGGCCGGCAACCGGCTGGCGGAGCTCGCCCCGGACACGCTCCGGCCCCTGCAGCGCGCCTTCTGGCTGGACTTGGCGCACAACCGCCTGGAGGGCCTGGCCGAGGACGTCCTGGCGCCCCTGGCGCAGCTGCGCTACCTCAGCCTGGGCAACAACTCCCTGCGTGCCTTTGTGCCGCAGCCCCCTGGCCTGGAGCACCTGTGGCTCGAGGGGAACCCTTGGGATTGCGGCTGCGCACTGCAGGCGCTGTGGGCCTTTGCCCTGCAGAACCCCCGTGCCGTGCCACGCGCCGTGCAGGCGGTCCCCGAGGGTGACGACCGCCAGCTGCCCGTGTACACCTACAACAACATCACCTGCGCAGGGCCGCCTGCCGTGGCCGGCCTCGACCTGCGGGACCTCGGCGAGGCCCACTTCGCTCACTGCTGACCTCGGGGCAGCCCCTCGGCGGGGCTGGCAGACCCCACGATGCCAGCGGAGGCAGCCCCTCCCGGGAGCAGACAGGCCTGTGGGCTTCACCAGCCGCTGACCTCTGGGGCCACGTGGGCACCGACCAGCCGTCTCCAAGGCCTGACCAGGAATTGGGGCAGAGCAGCCACTTGCCCCGTGCCCGCCTCGGCTGCCGTCAATTAAAGCAACCTGACAAACACAGTGTGTGACCCTGAGAAGCAGACGCAGGGGAGCAGGGGAACACCAGCGGGGGGACACTGCAGTCAGCCCCCCAAACGCAAGTGTTACTAGGGGTCCCGTCCTGCCTCCCCCAAGTCACCACAGCCCTCCCCCGCTGTCCTGCTGCCTTGGGAAGATGCCCCTCAAGTGCCCTTGCTCCACCCAGGTCTCTCCCCCTGGGGCAGTTTCCTCCGAGGCGTCCTGTTCTGCAAAGCCAGAGCGAGCCATGTCTTCCCTGGTGTCCTGCCCGCGGTGCACGAGGCTGAGTGTGCAGCCAAGTGCCGCCCAGTGAGCCCCCCACTGTTAAAGGGGGGCCGAGCGCCCCCAGTCCTCCTCTTCTGTGCACCCCCAGCCTCACACCTCAGACATGCATCCCACCCACCACCTTCCCACCCTGTCCCATCTCCCTGAGGCCACCCCACTCCCAGGGGCTGCACCAACTCCTTCGCTTGGAGACACAGCGCGTGCCAGTGCTCTGCCTACCACATTGTCCTCGTTGAGCAAAGGCAGGAAAGCCCCTGGGCCTCTTGGCTCACGTGGAAAAAGGCCCTTGGTGCCACCCAGCCCCTCAGAGCTCCACCCTGCCAGCTTGGCCCCTGGGTCCCCACGCACGTGCTTCTCTCACACCTCTACGTGACCCGCAAGCACCTGACCACTCTCAGTTCACCCAGAGACCCACCGAAGCAGACACAGAGACACAATAGAGAAGGTCAGAAAGGAAGGTGGAGACACCACACGCATAGACACGGGCGTCTGTTTAATGGAGGCTTCTCACAGTGCAGGGTGTCTCCAGGCCTGGCAGCCCACCCCCAACGTGGCAGGCTGGGGTCAGCAAGGACAACGGAGCAGCTCCACGCCCGTGCTCTGCGCTGCGTGGGGCACAGGCGTCAGGAGAAGCTGGTCCCTCTGGGAGCATGGCACCTCCCCGCGCGGCCTGGACGCGGTGCCATCTCTCGAGGCGCGTTACCGGGGCCCTGCCCATGCTGCTGAGACATGGGAAAGGGCTCTGGGCGCAGACCGGGGGTGGGGTGGGGTGGAGACACAGGTGCCGCTGCTATAGCTTCCGTAGGTCCAGCACCTCTCCAGGCCGCCCGTGCCCGCGCCCCACAGCATGGGAGAGCCGAGGAGACAGGAGGCCAGCAGGATGCCTTGGTCAGGGCGCCTCAGTCAGGGCCCCGTGCCTGGGCCCGGTCCAGGATCTTCCGGGCAATGGAGGCGAGCGCAGGGAAGGCCGGGCTCTTAGGGAACTCCTGGATGAAGTCACGGCCCTCCTCCAGGCTCCTTGCGAGCTGGGGGTCCAGGGGCACGGAGCCTGTGGAGACGAGGCGGGAGAAGGGACGGCAGGGTGCTCGCTGGGGGTGGGCAAGAGCAAAGCCTGGGGAGGCTGGGGCCCCTCCATGCACCCCTATCCTGGGAGCCCCCCCATCCTGGGAGCTGCCCCACCCCAGAAGCCAGTGCCTCCTTGAGAGAACAGATGCCACATGCAGGCAGTCCACTGGGGCTCACCTCCACCCAGACACCGCACCCTCCCACAGCGTGGCCCAACGCTGCCCAGCTCGTGGCCACCGGCCTCGCTGTCCACCCAAAGGGCAGCCCCGAGTACAGCTTGGGGGCAGGGGACAGGTGTCCTGACCGTGCATCTCAGGGTCCCAGTAGGCCGGCTCCCACAGCACACAGGGAGCCTGTCACCCCCGCCCGGCACTCACCTAGAAAGGGGACCCCGGCGTGCCTGGCCAGCTCCTCCCCGCCTCCCGTGGAGAAGAGGTTGGTACACTCCTGGGTCACAGGGACGGGGCCATGAGTGCAGGCCCCTCGCCCCCCCACCCCCCGCCCGATGGCCGGGCACCTCACCGCGCAGTGCGGGCAGACAAAACCACTCATGTTCTCCACGATGCCGATCACCCGCAGCCCCATCTTCCTGCAGAAGGTCAGTTCCCTCCGCACATCCCCCACAGACACCGCCTAGGGGCCGAGACAGTGGCTGGGATATGCGGCGGCTTGGCAGGGGAGAGGGAGGCCGCCACCCGCCTGCCAGGAGGGGCGGCGCTTCTGGAGCTTGGCATTTGCTCACCTGGGGCGTGGTAACCAGAACAGTGCCCAGGGGCCGGTAGGGACGCAGGGCCTCCACAGCCGAGAGGTGCTCGTCAGAGGTACCCGGGGGCGTGTCTACCACCAGGAAGTCCAGCTCCCCCCAGGCCACGTCCGACACAAACTGCTTTATGAGCGCTGCGGAGACGGCCCAGAACCCCGGGGGCTGGTGAGGGAGCCCCGAGAAGCCCCCGCCTCCTGCAGCCTCCAGTGCGGACAGCGCTCCTGCCTGGCCTGGTCCCCAGAGGGCGAGGCCGCTGCCAGGAGGACAAACACACGCACAGTTCCCCAGCACACTGTTCCTCCCTCCACCCCACCCAGGGGCCATCAGCTGATGTCTGTACCAGACAAGGGACAGCCCCGAGCATCCCAGCCCAGGGAGCAGACCCCGTGGGGAGCGTGATGGCTCACTGGCCCGAGGCTGGCTTCTGACACCAGCAGGTGCTCTGGGTCTGATGGTCCAGCAGAAGCCCCAATGTGGGCCCCACCCTTGTAGACCTGTGACTCGGGAGCAATGGCCTTCAAGCCCCAGGACTGTGCTGCCCGCCTCATCCCGCAACTTCTCACAAGCCCGCCCGGTGCTGCCTGGATGGTGCCAACTCCTTGTGACAGCTCGCATGGGACCGCTGAGGACTTGAGTCTTGTTACCGTTTTTCTTGGGGCCCCTCCACACCACGGCTTCATCGGGCGTCTCCAGCAGGAAGCCCACAGACATGAGGGCGACGCTCTGCTCCTGGTCCACAAACACAGGCACCCAGCCGCTGTCGCACTGGTGCACGGCGCAGCCCTGTGCCTGCAGCATGCGTGGCACGCTGGGCCCACACAGGTCCACGTCCAGGATGCCCACCTGCAGGTGGTGCCAGCAAGTGAGGGCCACACTCGGGGAGGGGATGGCAAACGCGGCGGACGAGGCATGGCTGGGGAGCACAGTGCTCACCTTCTTGCCGGCGTGGCGCAAGGCCAGGGCCAACTCGGTGGAGATGGTGCTCTTCCCAACACCCCCTTTGCCCGAGAGCACAAGGATGATGTGCCGGACGCCGGACAGGTTCCCAGGCTCTTATCAGAACAAGAGACGAAAAGGTCAGGGGACCCCAATGTGCCAGCCACTCCTCACCGTTCCCCGAGGGCTCACTGCGCGCTCCTACCTCTGGGCTCTAGGGCCACAGCCCCCACACCCGACACTGAGCAAACGAAGCCAGCAGGAGGCCCCACAGTCCACCCGCTGCTCCCATGAATGCCACAGCACCCACTCCTGCCTGAGGGCTAGCTGCCAAAGAACAGGAAGTCTCTTTGTAGAGCACATACGTGTGTACGTGTGTGCATACGTAGTGCAGAGAAGTACGTGTGCACTCACGCTTGGAGACGGGACCAGCCTGAGGTGCCAGCTCCCTCTGATTCCAACAGAGAGACGCATAGACACCAACAAAGTCCAAGAGGCTCACCTGTGCCTGGAGGCTGTGGCGCCTCCCCTCTGTGACCAGGCCCCAGGTGACCAGGCCCCAGGCGTGACTGAATGTGGGCCTGAGGCCGCCCCTGCCCACCTCCTAAGAACCGGGCGAGTGCAGAACAGGCCCGGAGGCAGACATCGGGGCCCCAGTTTGGGGCTGGGGGTGGGGGACACTGGCATCTGAGACCCAGGGCATTTGACAGCCCTGCCCGGCTGGCTGAGTCCACACTCTTGTTGCCCCTGTGCCCCACCTCGCAGGCACCCACCCACTAGTGTCCTTGGCCACGCCTCACACAAGCCCCAAAAAACAACTCTCCCATGGGTCTTTGGCCACCCGCCCTGCTCCTTTTCCTTCCACTGAACCCAGAACTTCGCCAAATGAATCAATGAATCAATGCCTGGTCTGGCCCTTCTGGCAAGACCTCATCACGAACTTTGTTAATTATGGGCCTTGACCTCGTCTTACTCAGGCGACACCACACCCGAGCTGCCCAACAACCAGGGACACTTAGGTTAACACCAACAGGCACGTGGGCGGACGCTGCGCAGGGCTGCAGGTTCACCTTCGTTGCTGGGGGAGGGGGCTCTGCTGGAAACGCTGGAGAGTGAGACAGCCAGATGGAACCTAGATGGGCCGTGACCACCTATGTCGCTTGGCAAAAGGCTCAACCTGCTTTCCCTGTGATAACGGGGATTTGACCCGCCTGAGGCAGAGCAGTGATGGCAGCAAACAGGGCACCTACGCCGGGTCAGGTGCTGCAAAGGCCGCGCGCTTTTCAGAGTACCTAGACGTCAACCACAACACCCTTTTACTCCTAAATGAGCCAAAAAAAGCCCATGACGCTAACTGACAACGCGCATGAGCTAGCGCCTGCGAGAAGCTGTGCTGGAAGGGGCGGAGAACACGGCGCAGCATCTCCCAAGGAGGGACAGAGGCCCGCTTTCCCATGACACGCCCTGGTCAGCTTCATCAAGGCCAGCCAAATCTAGATTACTGCACACACCGAGCAGGTGCAAGGCGTACGTTTTTATTTAGGAAGGAACTTCCTAGGAAAATACAAGCAAGTGACGACGTACACCCTAACTTCACGCCTTTTTTTGATTTATGTACATTTTCACCCAATTTAAGAAAGAAAGCCGACTCACAGACCGTCGCCTGTCAGGGCCTCTCATTTCTTGGGCTTCCTGGCTTTCTTCCCTTTCGTGCCCAAAGAGATGGTCACGGGCCACGCACACCCCCCTTGCTGCGGGCGCCCCGCCACGGCCCGGCGGCAGCTCTGGGCTCCAAGCCGGGGGCGGTCCCAGCGCCTCCATTTCCGCCCCGCGCCATGTGACCGGCACCCCGGTCGCGCCACACATCGGGGCCCGCGCTAGCCCAGGCCGCTTCCGCACCAGCCCCGGCGCCCCGCACACTCACCCTCCACCGCCTCCATGCTGCCGCCGCCTGCACCCCCGCGGCTTCCGCCCGCCTCCCAGCAGGAGTGAATAGCCCTCTGGCCAGTGGCAGCGCGAGCCCGCCCCCCGGCTCCTCTTCATAGGCCTAGTCCCCCTTCCCTCAGCCAATCAGACCGCCCGGGCCGTGCCCGCGAGTTCCGGCGCTGGATGACGTAGAGGATATGGGCCCGCTTCCTCGTTAACGCCCCAAATTGGGACCGCCTACCGACCGCGATCCGCGTCCAATAGGCGCGAGGGCTTTCCTCTCCTACGGATTCAGGGGTGGCTAATGGAGACTTCGACTCGGGACTGACGAGCCCTGCAGCCTATTGGCTGGAGGCGTGCCCCGCGAGTCCCGCCCCCGAACGCAGCCCGAGCCGGCGCCCGCCTCCGGTGGCCGGGCCAATGCGGCGCGGGGCGGGGATTGTTTACGTCTAGCTCGAAGCGGAAAGTAGGTCACGGCGGGCGGGGAGCGCGGCGGCGGTGGCAGAGCAGCTCCAGGTGAGCGCGGCGGAACGGCCCGGCCTGCACCAGCGCCGCCCGACCTGCACCGGGGCCGCGGGCTCGGGAGGGCGCGCCGCTGACCTTGCGGGCGACCGGGCGAGCCCAACCTTTGTTCCCCTGGCGCCCCGGGCGCGGCCTTTGCTCCGGAAGGACAGCTGCGCCAGACGCGCCGCGCACTGCCTGCGGATAGGGGGCCCTCCGCCGCGATTTGGGGGGTAACTTCTGGAAACAGCACCCCGAAACTGAAATCAGTACGAGCCCGCGAGAATCGAGAAATACCAGCCCTCCCTTAAGCGACCCTCCTGTTAAGAGGAGATTGGGGAGCGTGTTGCTGGGACTTCGCCGTGGGTGACAAGCTCGTTGGGTCATTCATTCAGGCTGGGTCACGTGGCGCCCAGTGTGTGCTACAAATGTAGCGAGTAAAGATTAAGCCGTACGGGGCTGATTGTAACTGCTTCAGCCATGGCTGGAGACAGGCGGCTCTGGTGCAGGCCAGGTGTTTATGGAGGACCGCAGGACTCCCATCTCCAGGAAGCGGTTGCTGCAGGCTAAGGAGGGCCCCCCGCTGAGCTCATTCACTCAGCCGACAAGGCGCCTTCTGGGTGTCTGGCAGGGGCCTGAGCGGGCTTTCAGACCCGTGGGAGAGGCAGGCATTGCACCATCACAGAAGGACACGTATTGCTTGCTCAGTGTTGGGTGGAATTGATAAGGGAAGGTAGAGTAGGACCGCCGTAGGCGGAGAGGTGGCTAGAAGAAAGGGTAGGAGAGAGCTGGTGACTGAGCCAAGGCCCGCATGGGTTGGGGAAGCTGAGAACTCAGCAGATTCTGCAGAATTTTGTGTTTTATCTTGAGAACAATGGCAAGGCCTGAAAGCACAGTGAAATTCAGATTTGTGTTTCTAGAACCAGTTTGGCAGTGGTGCAAAGGAGCTGGGAGGGCAGGCAGACAGGTGTATGGTCCAGGGAAGGTGCTGGGTTGGAATGGAGGTGAAGGACACGGACAAGGTGAGGTAGTCAGGGCTTGGAGATGCTGGGGTGAGGTGGGGCATGAGGAGGACGTGTCGGGGATGAGTCTTCTGTGTCTGGCATGAGGAACTGGGTGCTTGGAGATTCCATTTGTCAGACTGGACACTGGAGGAGGAGGAGCCAGCCAAGGCTGGAGATGCCTGAGGCAGGAGCAGGCTAGGTGAGGGGTAGATGAGGCTGAGCTCGGAGGGAGATGGTTCGAGATGTGCTGTGGAGAGTCGTGGACTTGTGGATGGCCTTGCACACCATCTGCTTGGGTATTATTGAGGCACTCAGATACTGGAGTGAGGTACGGGGTTGTGCAGAGAGTTCTGGAGTTCTGACCACAGCATCTATGTGGCCCATGAACACCTCCACCTTCGGGTGGGTCTGTGGGCACAGCCCACGGGGGCAGCTGGGAGCCTGTGGAGGGGCTAAAGACAGCGCAGGGGGCTGTTGGGAGACAGTCCCGGGTCCTGAGGGTCTTCCTTACTCAGAGCCTGTTTTTTCTTCCAGGTCCTCCCCACCATGGCCAGGCGGCCCCGGAGCAGCCGGGCATGGCATTTTGTCCTGAGTGCAGCCCGCCGAGACGCTGATGCCCGGGTTGTGGCCCTGGCAGGCACTTCTAACTGGGGCTATGACTCTGATGGGCAGGTAGGTCCCTATGGGGAGGGAGCATCACTAGACTGAGATGTGGAGAAGCTCGAGGAAGGCATGACCTGGACAGGGATGAAAGAGGATGTCCAGGTCCCACTGTCCCTGGGCGCACTCTGCCCAACAAAGCCCTTTAACCACGTGAAGGCTCCTGAGAAGGGGCCCCGGCACAGGTGCCAGGCTCTCGTTAGTAATGCCCTTCTCTCCTCCAAAGAGCACGTTAGGCAGTGTGGCAGGCGGCTTTCTGGTCAGTTTGTCCAACAGAAATGTCTCAATTCCACGTACTCGTTTCCAAAAGCAGCTGTCGATAACGTGGCACACGTTTTAGACATCTCCTCTGCCTGTACAAATACAGTGTTCTACGCGTGCGTGAAAAAGAGCTTTGGTTCTTGATGATAGTCTCGCGCTCAGTGAGCCCCTCGTTGTGGGAGCGAGGAGGTAGTCCGGGAGACACTTGTCTCCTGGTTCAGGTTGTCTGGTCCCAGCAGGGGCAGCATGGAGGGGCAGGGCATGTGGGTGAGGGCCTGGTGAGGCCAGGAGTGGGTGTGGGGCTCAGCTGGTTCCCTGTCTCTCAGACAAAGCAGGAACCAGGCGTGAGCCACCCAGCTGTCTCCTGCAGGGCTGCCCGAGGTGACTCTGGCCTCTGCTCTGCACGGCTCCCCTGCACGGTGCCCTGGGCTGGGAGTGGCAGGCGCCTCTTCTCCAGATCAGTGGCCCTCTGCCTCCCTGGAGAATGGCTTGAGCCCTGGGACCCATCCAGGCAGGAGGCCCTGCCCCCACACTGACCATGTGGCCTGGAGCAGAGACTCACTGCTGTGGGATGCAGGATGTGACTGGTGACGGGCCAGATGTGACACACACATGCTGCCTGTTCCTTGTCACCTAATGGGCCTCACCTGTGAGTGTGTCTGGTGTGAACAGCACACGCCACGCCCCCCTCCCCCCACCCCAAAATCCCTGGCTCATTGAGGGCAGAGGCCTCAGCCCCCGGGGTAGGGTGGCTGGTGATTGTTCTGGGCCCTCTGGCTTTTGACCTGGGGGGGGGTCTGTTCCCCACAGTAGGGTGTAGCCCCTCAGGCCTGCCCTGTCGGCCATTCTCCAGATGAGACCACGTCCCATCCTGAAGCTGGCTCTTGAAATAGACCTGCCAGCCCGGCCACTGTGGCTCCTTGTGGCTTCTCCTCCTGGGGCCCGCCCTCTCCTCTCCGACAGCTCCTGGGGTCTCCTGTATTGCTGCTAGTCTCCTCGGAGGCTGTCTGCCCATGTGTCCGTGATGGGCCTGACACGCAGCGGATGCCCATCTGTCCGTGACGGGCCTGACACACAGCGGACGCCCATCGTGCCGTTTATTTGTTCAGGTGGTTTAGCTGTGTGTGGCCACAGGGCTGGGCCCTGGAGTGTGACAGAAAAGAGGGCTGGGCCCTGGAGTGTGACAGAAGAGAGGGCTGGGCCCTGGAGTGTGACAGAAAAGAGGGCCTGGGCTTCCCCCCGCCAGGGGACAGGTGACAGATGAGCTGCAGGGACACACCGAGAAGGAAGCCGGGGAGTGGTGGTCTCAGGGCCTCTGTGGCCTCTGAGGGCTGAGGAGGGGCATCGGGAGACCCGGCTGGGGGACCCCGAAGCCATGTGCTGCACGTGGGGAGGAGTGAAGGTAGGGTACGGACAGTGGATCTGGGCTGGGGGCTCTCGAAGGACTTGATGGGGCGTGGGTTTACTCTAGGGGAGTAGGGCACAGTGGAGCAGCATGTCAAGGGCAGGGCACAGTGGAGCTGCATGTCAAGGGCAGGGCACAGTGGAGCTGCGTGGTGAGATGTTTTAAAAGCTCGTCTGGTTCTGGCCGCAGAGTGTGGGGCAGTAGAGCGAGGAGGAGGCCCATCGGTGTCCAGTGAGCTGCAGAGCTGCAGGCAGGGGCTCTCGCTGCCTGCTCAGAGCTGGGCCGTGAGACCCCAGCCCGTCGCGGCCTGGCCTGGGGTCCAGATGACCTGCATGGCTTCAGAGCAGGATGACTCGGCTCAGAGACCCCTAAGCAGGCTGGCTGCTCCCCCAAGAGGGGCTCTGGGTGACTCGGCTGTTAGGTGCGACAAGCTTTGCCCAAGGACCGAGGTCCCTGGCTGGGGCCTGCAGGAGAGGGGGACCCAGCTGAGTGGCTTTTCCCTACACCCAGAAGCCGGAAGCAGCAGTGAGGCCTCATCTGGGAGGGCTGTGTGGCAGGGTGGGCGTGGAGGGGCTGGCGCAGACCCGAGGTGGAAACAGCCTGCTTTCTCTCCTAGCACAGCGACTCGGACTCCGATCCTGAGTTCTCGTCCCTGCCGCCGTCCATCCCCAGCGCCGTGCCGGTCACCGGGGAGTCCTTCTGTGACTGCGACAGCCAGAGTGAGGCCTCTGTCTGCGGTAGCCGGCACAGCGCCCACGGCGGGAAGGACTGCCGCTGCGGGGAGGAGGACGAGCGTGAGCACCGGGGGGGGGCCCCTGTGGGAGGGGGGCAGTGGGGGACAGGACCCCGTGGGAGGAGTTGGGGGGACAGGACCCAGTGGGGGGAGGGACAGGACCCTGGGGTGGGGGTGGAGACCTCCGCCCACCTCAGCTGCCCTCCCCCGCCCCTGCAGACTTCGATTGGGTCTGGGATGAGCTGAACAAGTCCTCGGCCACCCTCCTGAGCTGTGACAACCGCAAGGTCAGCTTCCACGTGGAGTACAGCTGCGGCACGGCGGCCATTCGGGGCACCAAGGAGCTTGGGGAGGGCCAGCACTTCTGGGAAATCAAGATGACCTCGCCCGTCTACGGCACTGATATGGTGAGTGGCGAGCGCCTCAGAGGTGTGCAGGGAGCGGCCCTGGCCTCACCTGCCCCCCTGCCGGCCCTCTTCCTAGATGGTGGGCATCGGGACGTCAGATGTGGACCTGGACAAGTACCACCATACCTTCTGCAGCCTGCTGGGCAGGGACGAGGACAGCTGGGGCCTCTCGTACACGGGTGTGTGTGGTGGGCAGGCGGGTGTGTAGCGGAGCGGGGGTGGTGTCCCGCTCCCAGGCTCAACAGCCCGGCCGCCCCCAGGGCTTCTCCACCACAAGGGAGACAAGACGAGCTTCTCGTCACGGTTCGGCCAGGGCTCCATCATCGGCGTGCACCTGGACACCTGGCACGGGAGACTAACCTTTTTCAAGAACCGCAAGTGCATAGGTGAGAGTACCCGAGGGATCAGGTCCCCAAGGGTGGGACAGTGTGACAGAGAGGGTCCAAGCTGCAGGGTCCCGTGGTACCAAGTGTGGATCAGCCAGTGTGGGCCTCAGCCGTGCCTCCCTCACAGGCGTGGCGGCCACCAGACTGCAGAACAAGAAGTTCTACCCGATGGTGTGCTCCACGGCCGCAAAGAGCAGCATGAAGGTGATCCGCTCCTGCGCCAGCTCCACCTCCCTGCAGTACCTCTGCTGCTACCGCCTGCGCCAGCTACGGCCCGACTCGGGGGACACGCTCGAGGGCCTGCCCCTGCCCCCTGGCCTCAAGCAGGTGCTGCACACCAAGCTGGGCTGGGTGCTAAGCATGAGCTGTGGCCGCCGCCGGCCGCCCGCGCCCAGCCCCGAGACCAGGTCTTGCCAGAGGAAACGCTGCCGACGGACCTGACTTCTTTTGCAATGAAAACTGCTTCTTGGCCAGGACCGGCTTCTGTCCCTTCCTTCTGGCCATGCTCCGGGGGACAGGAGAGGGAGGAGTTGGGCCCAGTCTGTTGGGTTGTCCACTCACTCCCCAAGGCTGGGACAGTCCCTTTTGCAAGGTCCAGGGCCACTTGGCCGTGTGATCGTCCACATCCACTCTGCTGGCCCCAGGTAGGCAGCAGCCGCTTCCCACCTTGTGCCTCCCGGGCGGCCACTGTTGGCCACGAGTGGAAGAGGAAGGCCTGCCTAGCACCAGGGTTCCTGCCTCCCGGGCCTCGGAGGCCTTGGGCTCTGTCCTTCACTGCTTTGCATGTTGTCAGCTGCTGCTCCTCTTTCTCAGAGACAGAAATCACTGTAATAAATGCAGTTTCTATCCAAGACCCATGCCACCTGTAAAGTTACATGGGGCCAGACGAAGGCCCAATGGGTTAACACACCTCTACAGCACTTGTCCTGTGGGCTCTGATTCTGCTAGATACTGAGGGGGGGGACGAGGGTTGTCCTTCTTCCTGTGAAAAGGACGGTCCCAACTTCCTGGAAACCAGTGCTAAACGCCCTGGGAGGGCCTCCACTTGGACTCTCAGGAGGCAGCCAGCCTCCAGTCTCCCTGCCAGAGAGCCGACACTGGGCCCTGACATGGGCAGGGCTGGGCACACACACTGCCCCCAAAACCTTCAGCCTGCCTGGCCCCTTCTCTCAGCCCAGTGATCTGAGAACTTCCCCTGGTGCCCCCCTGCCCTCTCCCAAGCCAGACACAGACCAAGAGCCATCCCAGGCCAAGGGTGCCAGTCGTCTGGCGTCCCAGCCCTGCAGTGGGGGTCTCCTGTCCCCCTACTCCGTATGCTGTGTGTTGATCGGAGGCAGTGTGCTCAGGAACACAGGTCCAACAGGAGATCAGGGTTGCAGGTGGTCAGGAAGAGGTAGAGGCGGCGGGACAGGTCGGGCCCCACCCTGCGGGGCCGCCCACCCTGGCCCACCTCCACAGGGAGGTCAGCCAGGAGAGCCAGCCGCTCCCGCTCCGAGCTGCAGGCCACGTATGCCTAGGGTGGGGACAGGGATGAGCAGGGCGGCCTCGGCAAACCTCTACCTGGGGGTCAACATGGGGTCAGCTCACCTGCTGTAGAAGGCGGGGAGAGGGGAAAGCGGCAACCACGGCGTCAGCCACCGCGGGGCTGACTCGGTTGAACTGCCTGATCTGCCACCACCAAGTCCCCAGCAGCCCCCTGCTGTGTCTTGCCGCCCGCTCGCTGGCTGCCCAGCGCCCTGCCGTGCAGAAGGACAAAGCCTGGGACTCCCGGAGCTGCCTGCAGGTGGGGGTGGGGGTGTCCTTCTAGAGGCTCTGGCTCTGAGCACTCTCACTGCCTACCATGCCCAGTAGCCCCGCCAAGCCTCTCTGCTGCTGCCCACCGTGTCCCTCCACCACCCAGCCCAGCCTGCTTTGGAGGGCACGCACTTGTAGGGGCGCTGGGCAAGGGCCCTGGTGAAGGCACACACGTGCTCGCTCAGCTCCTGCCAGGAGGCCACCAGCAGCACGTCCAGGCCCGCCCAGAGCTGCAGGAGCACCAGGGCCTGCGAGGGGGAATGATGGGTGGGGGCTTCCCTGGGGACTCTGCTGAGACCCACTGCCTGTGCCACCCGGGACCAAACCCTGCCCGGCTGGTCACGTGACAGTCCGAGTGCCAGGACTAAGGTCAGCCGTCTTGCCCAATCCAGATGGCCCTCACCTCCTCCACCTGGAGCCAGCTGATAGCCGCCTTGGTGTGGGGCACCACTGGACTCCCTGGTGACCGTCCCATTCCCGGGACACAGCGCGGGTGAGACCTGGACAGAGGGACCAGCCTTGGCTCCCACACCCAGCCGGTCCTACCCCACCCTCCTCTCCCGGGCAGCCCTGCTGGGGGATGGGGGCAGTACCGCAAGTGGGCATCCAGCCCAATGATGGCCAGGTGGGGGCGGGAGGGGCTCCCAGGACAAGTCCAGGGCACCGAGCAGTCTGGGCCAGACACCTGCAAGCCGGAATGCACGCATGCCTCAGAGAGCTGGCGGGAGGGCACCTCTGGTGCCTTGCAGGCCACGCCGAGCTCTCCAGCCTCACCTCCCTGCTCTATACCAGGTGCGTGATGAATGGGGAGCCTTGGCCGGCACCAGGGCGAGGAGGGCCTGATGGTGCTCCAGTGTGGCCGGCTGAGCGCTCCTGAGTTCTCCTTCAACCAGGGCCGGCAAGCAGCCATCACACTTCACAGCCACCACAGCCATGCCTGGCACCTCCAACCCTGGTCCCCAGACCCCCTCCTGCCAGGTGACGCCGGACTCCCGAGACCTGCTCTGAGCCCCTTTACTCCGGCTCCCGCCCTCTGGGAGCAGCTGCGGCTGCCACCTGCCCCCGGCTGAGAACGCAGAGACCAGGGAAGAGTTCTGAGCTGCCCGGGCACTCAGGCAGCACATGCCCTTCGCCAGCGCACCTCCACTGCGGCAGGGCTGGGGGAGGCACCTGGGTCAGCCGGGCGACGCCCTGCAGAAACTCCTCTGGCTCCAACAGCAGCAGCAGTTCCTGCTCGTGTGCAGCCCACAGCTGAGGGGGCACCTGTGGGGACATCCAGGAGGCTCTGAAGTTCGTGCCAGTCAAGCACAGGCCAGGTCCGCACCACAAGGCCCAGCAGAGGCCAAAGCCAACACAGGTCTACCAAGCCAGCGGGAACGGAGTGGGCCGCCTACGCGGGGCTGGAACGTTCCTGGGGGTAAATGCCTGGCCTGAGCCCCGGCCCTGCGCCACACTAGCTGAGCAACTTGACATCACGCACTTGAAGTGTCTCGCTCCTACCCTGCCAGCCGCCAGGTGCACACAATCGCGGGAGCTACTTCCCAGGGCAGCTTCGAGCATCAAGTGACACCAGAGACGCAACACACCGAGTCACCGAGGAGGCGGGGCTCCTGCGGACATTAACCCTGACACTCACGTCGCAGGGGCAGGGGTCCGGCCTCACGCGGCTCCAGCTGAGGCTCCTGGCACGGAGCTGGGGCTCCACGCGGTGCTCACAGCCCAGGACGTCCAGGGCCTCCAGCAAGATGTCGGCGCCAGCATCTTTCAGGATAGCTGGGGTGGCGTGGGAGGGAGAGAGAGAAAGCGAGCTCCGTTTCTCCCCGGAAATGGACCCACAGCCGGCCGGGCGTGCAGCAGAGCCCCCGGGGCAGCGGCGGGCACAGTTGGGAAGGCCGGCCAAGCTCCGGGCAGGAGGTGCCTTGGAAGGCAGCGGGCGCCCCTTTTACCACCTATTGGGGGCTAAAAGGGCGTCCAGTCCCCAAAGCCGAGTTCCAAGCAGAAGCGACCCCGGGCTCCTCCCGTCCGCACCTGGGTCCACGAGCACCACCAGGCGCCTCAGAGCCCGCTCCGGTCGCAGCGCCTCGGCCGCCGCCCTGCGCTCCTCCGCCGGGTCCCGGGCCCTCGCGGCGGCCTCTGC